CAGCTCAGCTCAGAAAATATCGGGTTCAAATTGAGACTGTTGGCGAAACGCACTGAGGAGATCTATGTTGTCCTGATTAAGGCACCACATTTAGAGGATAAACCACCTCAGCGGCGTGATAATTCATCCGTCGAACTGGATGAGAAACAGTCCTGTCCCGTCAAAGAGGGGTCACTGTCGGTTGAAGTACAAAATGAGATATCACTTCGGCAAATCACGGAAACTGTTTTCTAAGAATTTAGGCAAATGTTCGCATATCAGGAACGTGTATATTTTGAGAAGAAGAAGAAGGTTAATCGAACAGCGGAATCATGATTTTATTGGTCTGAGCTTTCGGGCTCCTGCAGGAGTCCATCATCAGAGATGGGAAAACAGCAACAAATGAGGTGGCTAATTCTGGCGTGTGCACAAAACAACTAAAATTTGAACGTGTTCGATAAGCCTTCTTCTTCGTCTTCTTCTTCTTCTCAAAAAAATGTTTTCTAAGAGTATTTTATTTTTTAAATATTTATAGAAATGAAAGAAGAATTGATACTCGATACCCTCGCTCCTAAAATGCCTAAGCTATGTCCAGTTACAGCTTATCGTTCTACCATTTTTAGGTTTCTCAGTTGAGCGGCTGGCCAATTGAGTAGATGCACAAAATTCTTACTTACGATTGTAGGGTGTGATTGAGCTTGACAATGCGATGGTGAAGGAGGAATACGCAGTGGATGGCGGGAGGATACCACTTCATTTGGTCTGTTCGAGAGATTACGACACTGTTGTAAGTTTCGAACTACTGTACTTATGCAGACTTCCTTTAAAGGTCTGTTCATAGATTGCAAAATAGCCCCCCCCCATATGTTGCCCTTCTGAAATACATCGGGATGCAAAGTGGTATGCGGGTTCGATTTAAGCACACTTAATCTAAATACCGTTTATGGTACGATAGTGCTTTTTTATAAGAGCCGAACTTATATGCCATAAATAAAAATGACCGCAATAGATCAAAAGACAAAGCACTGTTTCCGGGACCACGAGTCTGTGGATTGCAGTTTAGAATTCCTCACAATGCAAGATAACTTTTAAGGTAGTAGGTACTTCTCTCTCTCTCTCTACATGTCAAAGGTTTTCTTAAGTAGGTATTATTAAAAAAAGCGACATTGAAAAATATGTTAGAGGCCATACTACTTCGGAAAAAAGACCTTCTTCCAAAGCGACTGTCTCAAAACAGTCCATGGAAATAGACCACCCGTATTCTTCCGTTGCAGTTGATAGGCCAAGTGAAAACTTCCTGAGGTAAAAATGCTGGCCAACTGAGGTGTGCAAGAATTGGACGTATTCCCTGTGGATGGCCAGATATATGATGT